GTTGTTGTTGGCAGTTTTAACTGGCTTTAATGTAAAATCTATCTATTAATAAACAAACAAATGAATGTGCCCACTGAATTTCTTTAAACATTTATTTGGTACAGAAATGTAGAAAATCAAATATGGACCATTAGTAAAAAAAAAACAAACTGTAATCATCATGGATAATCCTGATTGGCCTCAGCACCACTTACTGTACAGTTTCACCTCTGCTGTCATAAGGACAGACACAGGAGATTTTTCATACTGCATGCTACTACCCTCTATACACAATCTATACAGAGATTATTCAGATGCATTATCAGTCACTGAAGATCACATATTTCAGATTTTTCTTACTACAAATGATTATATTTATACTTTTTAATTGTAAAAAACAAACGATTATAGAGCCTGAATAATGTATTTATGGTTTTATTTGTGCTGAAACAAACTATGAAGTCTGTATTTAGTTGTATTATCTTCAAACAAACAAACCTTAGAAAATATGCAGCGTGTCTGATATTTGTGTAGCAGAGGAGCAACAGTGATTCATAAAATGCTTCTTTTTTTGCTTTGTGGCTACTGCTCTCCTCACTGACCTGTAAAACATCCACATAAAGACAGAAAGTTTAAAGTTGTCATGATGAGCCAAATCCTCCAAAATCTGATATCCTTCAATCAAAAAGCTTTCATATCTTGTATTGCTCTTTAATATTCAAAAAATATACAGTACCTTCTCCAGTTTCTTCCATTTGTGTTACTGATTCATAGACAGCATCATTACCTACATAAAAGAAACATCCAGCAACAATTAATTTAATGTTATTGGACTCAATAAATATCACATTGTCATACACTGCAAAGACCAAGTATTTGGAAACTATATAACTAAAACCAGAATTATGCAATGTTTTCGTACTGTGAGTCTGCATGCTGTTGATATGAAGTGAAACACTAACATTTGGATTGGATTATTTAAAGTCTTTACAATTTTGTTTAACTTTGATCTATTTGTCAATTGGCTGTTTGACTGCTTGCTCAGCAACTGATTTTTAAGAACAAGGTCTCGTAGACCAATACTGATAGCCATGAGTTGCATGTACATTAAGGTTGATAAAGGCTTAATGGCAAGTCAAAATCATCTTCTTTAGGGATCACCACAGCAGATTATCTGCCTCCCTCTCAGCCTGTCCCTCTTATCCTCCACAGTGACACCAACCCTCTGAGAAAAAAATCCTTTCAGGCCACTGTGATCCCAGATGATCCCAGACTGGAGAAAATCTTGTTTTTTCTGTAGTTTCATTGTTTAGTACAGGATAAATAAGCCAACGCCAAAAACAGTCTCCTCTTCTCCTGATTCATCAGAAATTTTATTCAGTTTGGGTTATTGGTCATGTGCCTGGTCATGTGATTTTTCTTAGAGCGATACAGGCACCGATTGATCTTTTTTGTGTCAGTTACTTTGGATGTTTGACCCCAGGGATTTAAACCCATCTGCCTTCATGACCTCTACTCCTTGTATGTTCATCTTCCCACACACATTTACTATGTCTTGCTTCTAGTGACATTCACTCTGTTTCTCTCCAAACCACACCTCTACCTCTCCTCTATTCCAACTGCTCCCAACTCTCACTGCAGATCACGGTGTCACGGGGGGAGTAGGTTCAGCCAGATGGCTCTCCAGCCCAATCGGGCGAAGGGGGTATATGGTAGGGCGTGGTCTGGGGTGCCGTGCAGGGAGGGCCCACGCACCTGCGTGGCAATTACGCCCACCGACCTACACAAGGGGTTGTTGTGTGTTGTGGTGTGATGTGCGGCTGGCAGTTTGGGATTGTCAGCCAATGCAAATAAATGGCTCATAATTACAATCAGTGGTGTCGTGGTGCCTTATTCACTCCACACATAGTTTACAGAGAGTCCAGCCTGACCTCATCAGTCAGCCTGTCCATCACCACTTCAAACAATAGAACTGATCCCTGATTCTCTGCGGCCTGCTGGAGCGGGAGGGCTAGTAGGAGGAGTTGGCCGTCCGACTGCGGTCTGGGGTGTGGGGCCTCCCTGCTGCTGCGGAGTCGGGGTGGTCTGCCTCTCCCCACCGCAGGGAAAAGGGTAACACCACCTGGGTCTGGGTGCAATTCCCCCCTCCAGGGGCAAGGGTACCTAGACCCGGTTTGTAGAGTACGCTTGGGGAGTGTGATTGTGTGTACAGCGTCTCTTTATGTCTGTCTCCACGTTGGTTGAGTGTGGAGTGAGTGCATATGAGAGCATGAGGGTGGGAATGGATGTTTGTGTCTGTGTGTGCCTGTATGTCTGTGTCTATATGTCAGGTTGGGTATCAGACGCCACCTCTCTGGGGACACCTCAGGCCCTCCAAGGTTTGGAGGCCTATCTCCACCCACCACCACTTCCCCTGCCGGTGGCGGACTCCCTCAGGTGTCGGTGTGCTGGTGGTTCTTTGTGTCTGGGGGTGGGCGTCCGGGTACACACCGGCTCACTCCTTGGCGGCCGCTTGTCGGGGCCTGGGGCCTGGGGCTCGCTCGGGCCCCCTTTGGAGGTGGGGTGCCCCCGGCCTCTCGGCCTGGGGCTCGGTCACTCAGGCACAGCTGGGGGCCGGCGGAGCTCACGGGCGCGTCACTGCAACTCCCCCTGGCTTCTGCTCCGCGGCTGCTGGGCGAGCCCTCATCTGGGACTCTCCTCAGCTCTTTCTGGGACAGTGGCGCGGCTGCCCCTCTGTTGGTCTTCCTTGGTCTCTTGTGTTCTGGGGGCCTCTGGATGTCTGGAGTTTTGATCTCCTCCATACCTGCTACACCCTGGAGGACGGGGCTGTGGCCCCCCCACACTCCCTAGCAGATCATTACATGGAGAAACCTTTGGAATGCAAGCATGCTGATCCACACAGGTATGCACACAGGTGTACACATGGGTATTCACAGACGCGGACTAAAGCTTTCTTGGCTGCTGCCTCAAAGCACACTGTGCGCTGTCTATCTTGCGTGCTGCACAATATCGTTTATTATTTAGTAACTATTGATATCTATGACTAGCTAGTTTATTGTGATGGTGCTTTGTTTTCTCTATTATTATGTTGCTCTTTGTTGTTTGCTGTCTCCTCTGTTTGTTTTTTTTGTTTGTTTGTTTTTTCTCCATACAGGTGACCCAGGAGTTTTTTTTTTTCTTGTTTTTTTTTCTCTCTCTTCCCCCCCTTCTCACCGTCTCTTCTCCCCTTTTTCTCTCATTCATTCCCCCTGTCCTATTTATTTAAAAAAAATAATAAAAATGACAAAGGATGAACTGAAGCTCTGCCATCACGTAATGTCGCATACTGCTGTTTCTGATGTCATTTAAAAAAAAAAAAAAAAAGAACTGATCCCTGATGTAGTTCCATCTCATTGTTAAACCCATTTGTTACTACTGCTCACCTCGCTCATTGTCTTCATACAAGTCCTCCACCACTCTCACATACCACTCTATCAGTCTTGACCTCCTCGTGCAAAAAAATGCAGTGCCGCAGTTCTTCTCTTGGCACCCTCTCAAATGCTTTATTTAGATCCATAAGGACTCCTGACATTCTCTGTACTTTTACTTTTGACTTTTAACTCCATCTCAGTTCAGATTAAAATGGTAATAATAACTGGTTTCAGTACTGACCAGGATGAAGGCGACTGCATTCATGACTTTCATTCTGACAGGAAATGAAGAGCTTTCAGGTCCGACAGCAGCTAGTGTGATAACAAACAGAATTGAAAGATGTTATATGAGACATTTTTACAAAATATAATTTAATAAACTATAAAACAGAGTAAGTTTACTTCACTTAAACAGGCACACATTTCTATCTGCTATACATATTTGCTAACACAATACATGAGGACTGAGTTCCTTCTCAAACATTAAGATGTTTTTTAAAAAAGTCATGTTTAAATAACGTTGCAATGTTACTCACACTTAACCGACATGTAACGTGATGGCGACTCTTTTCCTGAGTACTGACACTTGTAGGAACCTTCATCAGACTTTGACACTGCCAAGAAGTTCAGCTCCTCTCGGGAGTCATTTTGGATAAGTTTGTTATTGTGGTAAAAAGCCACACTGGGGAAGTTTTTTTTTATTCTCAAGTTGCAGCTAAGACTAACGAAAGTTCCCTTTTTCACAGGATCATCAGGGATCACCATGAGAGGACCTGAATAAAAATCTGAAAAACAGTCAGAATATATTGTTTCAACTGGATCAGCTGGTGCCGGCTTTCAGAAAAAAAACAAAAACAAAAAACGCTTATTTGCAATAATAATAATAGATTTCATAAATGTCTTGTAGCATGAAGATGTGATATGTGACCTGGCTTATTTAATAACTATTCTATAAAAATAATAATTTCCAAATAAACAGCAGGTTTATGAACTATATAGAGCTTTTAAATAATAATAATAATGAAATAATAATGGA